ACTCTTTCCTTTCGAGCCTTCTTCCCAGGACCTGTCAATGGCCGCTCCATTGGTAGAGCCGGGGGTGGATCCCTACAACCAAGCGAGGAAAACCCTAACGGAGCGCTGCCCTTTTGATACCGAAGAGACGACTCCAAGATTTGGGACGCTGCCGTCTGCGTTGTCGGCTAATTTGAATAAAAAGTCGGATGGACGCAGGAAGCACCGCAAGATACAAGAAGATGCTGCCGGCAAAGCCGTCGGGCCTGGGCGGCCGCCGGCTGGTTTCAGTGTGTGGGAGAAGAATGAGGTGTATTTCAGGCCCATAACTTTGGAAGACATCGACGTTTTGGACACTCGTCTACCTTCGGATTCTTGTTTCTACATTCCCAGCTCGGAAAATGTTCTGGAAGAGGTTGTGAGGGATGAAGCAGTCCTTGATGAGTACCCACCGGGTGAAATGGATGTGAGCACAAGCTCGGTTGTAGTTAAAGAAGAGTTGGAAAGCGTTAAGGGGGAGGCTCATACTAAGCAAATTGATGGCGAGGTGACTTGTAGTGCTGCAATGCCATTGGAAGAACCTGAGGTGGAGGATAAAAAATCACTGAATTGGATTCTGGGATGCAAGCAGAGATTCCTTCTCACTTCGGGAAGACCTTCGAAGAAAAGGAAGCTCCTTGGTGAAGACGCAGGTTTTGAACAGCTTTTGCAACTTCCTCGTATGGAAGGAGCTGGTGCTGCGACGCGACTCTGTGACTTTTGTTGCTCCGGAGAAAGTGACGTGAAGTCTAACGGCCTTCTTTTATGTAATTCTTGCAACGTTTCAGTGCACCAGAAATGTTATGGTGTTCATGAGGTTCCTTCTGCGGGATGGCTGTGCTCATGGTGTAATTATCTGGAGGTAGTGGGAAGAATGACTCCAGGAAATGCTGATGATGGTGACGCCAGCTTCAATCCCTGTCTGCTTTGCCCGAAGGTCGGCGGAGCACTGAAACCTTTAATGGGGAACTTGGAAGGTGGTAAAGGGACAAAGTTTGTTCACTTGTTTTGCTGTCTCTGGATACCTGGTATGTATGTGGAGGATGTAGGGGCAATGGAACCAGTTATGAATGTCCAAGGCTTGCAAGAGACTCGAACGAGACTGGTTTGCAACTTGTGCAAGGTGAAGCATGGCACCTGTGTACGTTGTAGCCATGGTATGTGGCCTCTTTGCCCAGATGTATGCTCATTCAAAATTTGTTTGGAAGAAGCCTGATTTTTTTGGGAGTCCTGAACAGCACTGTTATTTTGTCTGGACGTTTGACATTTGAATGCTGCTATTTTGATGAGTTTATGCACTTCTTGTGAAGAACATAATGAAATTTATTCCCATTTTTCTGAAAGCTATTGTTTAGAAACTTATTTCGCCTAAAGATTACCTGTGTAGATCCGCTAGGCTTGCTTTTTTGCATTGCCATTTTTTTTGACACTTAGCATTTTAGTTTGATTTACCAGTCCCTCATGGAGATTTGACTAGGATATAATTATAGCTAGGCTCTAATATGTCTTTGTATGACCTTATGCGGATGATTGTCCTAGTGAACCATTTATTCTTGAAAATATTTCTAGCATATTGGTCATGCGTTTTGTGCTTAAATACATTGTTTTTTCTAAATTATGACATACAAAACTTTTGAGGAAAACACGATGAAAATTATTAAACAAGGAGCAAGTTCAATGGAGGAGTGGGCAGCATGAAGAAGGAAACAATAGGCTTATAGTTATTAAGTGAGTTGATGACCAACTGGTAGGTGAAGAATTGGGTTTTCTTGTGGCTTAGATGCTAGAAGATGACAATGTTTGAGTAGAAAATGAAATAGGATGGGTGCAAAAATTTGTGTTTTATGATGTCATATCAAGCCATCCATAATTGATTTAATCAATAAAGAAAACATATTGTGTTGTACATTTTTCCTATCCTGACCATTGCTGTTTTTGAGTTATTTTTGAAAAAGAAACCATAGGTGTGATTTTCAGCATGTCAGACATATGCAAGGACAATATTAATGTTTAAAATATAAGGCATTTTGAGGTGTCCTTGTAACATAGAAGGCATTTTGAGGTGTCCTTGTTTCATTGACCATCTTGCATCAGTTTTGTATGCGGAACATGAATTGTACAAGTATTTTGCTTGTAGATTTTTTATTGTGATTTTAGACAAATTAAGCTGATTGACGATTTCAAATTACTCTCTCAATGAATGCACATCCTTTGCATTGTATAGAATTTTTTTTCCATAAATCGAACTTTAATCTCAAGTCATACTGGTGAACCACTTTATCATAAATTTTTACGTGTTACCCCAATTTTTTATTTAAAAGTGGCAATCTATTATTGATTTAGCCTTCTGAATGTTGCTGAATTGCAAATGATTTAAAAAAAAAATAATATTATTACGTTTTTTTACTTAAATGATAAAGCAGATGATCTTTATCTGTCAATAGGCATCTCAATTTTTATCTATTCTGAATCAAAGGATTGGCAGGCGATGCCATTTAATATTTGAGCGAGAACTCTTTTTTCGTTTTTTAAAAGTAGTGGGATTTACATACATTCCACACAATTCTTATAAATTTATGTATCTAACATATAGTTTTTAATATTCACTGATAACATTCAAATCTTTAACATAACTTTTCTAAAGTGAAATGCACATTTTCATGCATATATTTTGATGTAATTATAATACAGTGCTTTAAATGTAAATATTAAAATTTAGGTGATATATATATATATATATATATATATA